TTCCCGGCGCTTCCCGTCCCCGCACCGGGCGTTTCCGCAGCCCCGCATTCCCCGAGCGCTGCTGCGGGCCCCCTCAGGCACTCCCGCCTGCCCCGCTAAGCCACCCCAACCTTTCTCCCACCCTCCGGCTGCCTCTCGCTCCCTCCGACCCCATTAAACTCTGAGATTCCTCCCAACTCCACCCAGCTGCCCCTGGCCCCTTCGTACCTCCCTCCAACCCCCTCAGACCCTCCCTAAAGCCCTTCAGACCCTCCTCTAGCCCTGTCTAGCTACCCCTTCCCCCTTTCATCGCCCTCAGACCCTCCCTAAGCCCCCTCAGACCCTCCCTAAACCCCTTCAGACCCTTCCTAAAAACCGTCAGACCCTCCCTAAATCCTCTCAGCCGCTCCTTAAACCCCCTCAGCCCCTCCCTTAGCCCCCTCTAGCCCTGCCTAGCTCCCCCCCACCCCCTTTAATCCCCCCGTACCCCTCTCCAATCCCCCTTTAAACCTCTCCCATCCCCCTGACGGCCGTGCCCTGCCTCTCCCTCAGGCCGCCATGGACGCTCGTTTCACTCGGGGCAAATCTCCGGTTCTGGAGCGGGCTCTGGGCCGGCCGCGCTCCGAGCTGTCCCTGGCCGCCTTCGCTCTGCTCTTCTCGGAGCTGGTTCAGTACTGCCAGCGCCGAGTGGCCTCGGTAGCCGAGCTACAAGCCCGCCTCGCCCGCTTGGGCCACCACGTTGGGCTGCGGGCTCTGGACGCTCTGGTGGCCCGCGAGAGGCCGGGCCGGCGTGAAACCAAAGTTCTGGGGGTGCTGCTGTTCGTTAAGGGTCCGCTGTGGCGGGCGCTGTTCGGGAGGGAGGCGGACAAGCTGGAGCAGGCCAACGACGACGACCGCACGTTCTACGTGATCGAGAGGGAGCCGGTGGTGAACACGTTCGTGTCGGTGCCGCGGGAGAACAGCTCGCTCAACTGCGCCGCCTTCGCCGCCGGCTTGCTGGAGGCCGTGCTGGGCGCCGCCGGCTTCCCCGCCCGCGTCAGCGCCCACTGGCACAAGGGCACCACGCTCATGATCAAGTTCGACGAGGCCGTGATCGCCCGCGACAAAAGCCTGGAGGGGCGCTGAGGGCGCGGGGGGGTGGGGGCGGTGGGGTTTGGGATGGGGGGGGATGAGGAGGGTGGGGAGGGGAGGGATGGGGACAGCACGGCCTTGTCACTCGGGGTCGTGAGGGACGAGGACACCGCGGTTTTGCCACGTGGGGACACGGGGGACAGGGCTGTGAGGGACACAGAGCTGGAGAGGGACGGGGACGCCATGGCTTTGTCACACAGGGTCACAGGGGATGGGGCTGTGAGGGACAGGGACAGCCTGGACAGGGACAGCATGGCCGTGAGGGATGTCGTTCCCTCAGGGGTGCTGAGGGGACGGCGTGGTGTCCTGTTCCGTGTCACCGTGTGTGGCATTGTCACATCCCTGCTGGCCTTGTCCCGTGCTGTCCCGGAGCATGGAGATGATGTCACCATCAAGGGACATCGCCACAGGGAACGAGAGCCTGGAGTGACAGGTGACACCCCCGTGGCCTCGGCTTCTTGTGTCACCTGTGTCACGACGAGCTGGGAGAGACGTCCCCACCCACCCCAGGAGCCTTCCTGATGGCCCTCGGCCACCTCTGGGGACATCGGAGCTGCTTTGTGTCCCCGAGGTGGCCCCTGGGGACACTCGTGTCACCATAAACCGTCTTTGTCCCTCCAGTGGCCTCGTCTTTTCTTTGGCTGGGGACATCCTGGGCTGGGTTTGTGTCCCCACCATGTCCCCTGGCTCTCTTGAGCCCCTACAGGACATTTGTCACCTGTTGGGGACAGAAGGACATCTGCCACCTCACTTAGGGACATCGTGGTGGCCTTTGGGCTCCGTTTGGGACATTGGGGTGTCCCCTCTGGGGATGTCCCAGTGCCCCTGGGGCCGCAGGTGCCACCGCCCTGTGACCCCCCCAGCGCCATCGTTGTCCCCATGTCCCCAAAAAGGGGGGAGTGGCACCAGAGGTGTGGGGGG